TATATATATATATTTTTTTTTTGCTTGTTTACAGTTGAACTATAGTTTGCACTATAGTAGCACTATGCATCTGAAAAATGTTCAAATGTTTAATCTGCAGTTAACATTCCACTTACAGAAGAGAATATTAATTGTGACCTAATCTTCTCAGTGCTTCCAGTGGACTTAGTATTTTGTGCTTTGTAAATATCGGTACCTAATTAATTTCCACAGTAAGAAATGGGCAGAAAAAAAAATCAGACTATGTTGTTATTACAGGAAACTGAGACATGAGAAATTAAATAACATCTCTGATGTGCGAAATGTTCACTTTCCTAGAAATAAGTTTCAAATAAATTGGCATCCTTTATCGAGGTAAAAAATATTCCAGGTCATCCCTTGTAAAGACCTACTGGAGCTTGGTTCTGAAGTTAAGGAGGTCCTGCTTCCTTTCTGATGTCTTTAATATTGCCGAGTGGGTGTTTTATTGTTCTCCTGAGATAATTCTTTAGAAGGATTTGGGAAGGGGGTGGGGGGAGAGCCATGAGGAGCTTTTAGGTGTTGAATGTTCATTATCTGACCAGTAGATAGTTTGAAGTGCTGGATCAGTTTGTCATTATCTCATATGTTCACTACCCTTTTCTTTAAAATGAGAAGATTTTGAGGGGATAAATGTTTGCAGTTTGTGTTTTAAGTTGTTTCTGAAGTTGATTTTTTCAAGGCAGAAAACCAGAAAGAAGGTGAGAAGTCTTAAATGTTAATGAAGCTGATCTCAGTTAGGATTTATCTGTTCAGGAAGAACTTGTATTGTATTCATTATTAGAAATAACAATTTATTTTTATTTTTATTTCATTTTTCCCCTAGGTGATTCATGGCAGGGGACGTGGAAGGGTTTAGCTCCTCCATCCATGACACCAGTGTCTCTGCTGGATTCAGAGCACTGTATGAGGAGGGATTGCTTCTTGATGTCACACTTGTCATTGAAGACCACCAATTTCAGGCCCATAAAGCGCTGCTTGCCACCCAGAGTGATTACTTCAGGATTATGTTCACAGCTGACATGCGAGAACGAGATCAGGACAAAATCCATTTGAAAGGTCTGACAGCTACAGGCTTCAGTCATGTCCTCCAGTTCATGTACTATGGAACTATTGAACTGAGTATGAACACTGTTCATGAAATCCTTCAGGCTGCCATGTATGTCCAGTTGATAGAGGTGGTAAAATTTTGCTGCTCTTTTCTCTTAGCTAAAATCTGCTTAGAAAACTGTGCAGAAATTATGAGACTTTTGGATGATTTTGGTGTAAACATCGAAGGAGTCAGGGAAAAATTGGACTCCTTTCTGCTAGAGAATTTTGTGCCGCTCATGTCCAGACCTGACTTTCTTTCCTATCTGAGCTTTGAGAAGCTCATGTCTTACTTGGATAACGATCATCTGAGCAGGTTTCCAGAGATAGAGCTGTATGAAGCTGTTCAGGCTTGGCTGCGCCATGATAGAAGACGCTGGAGGCATACGGACACCATCATTCAGAACATCAGGTTTTGTTTGATGACACCATCCAGTGTTTTTGAGAAGGTTGGTGCATTTGAAAAGCAATAGACAGGATTCATCATTTAGCTAGGGCAGCATGCCGTTAAATAGGTAAGATTCCCAAACGTGTTAGGAGGAACAAAAACACAGCATTTATTTTTCTAGTATATCTCTAGAAGACAAACATCTAAAAGCAATGCCATCTAAATGTTAGAAAATAGTATGTACGGTGACTGGGTAGCAGGTAGGTTTACAATACATGCTTTTAAATGACTTCTTATGGAAAGGACGTTTTAAAATAAGGTCACTTGTCTAAAGTTCTATTTCAGTCATTCTAACTGTTTTCCACAAGTTGCTGCTTGATTTCCAGGGATTTCTGGTCTCCATACGTTATGTAGGGTATATGTTGTCATAATTGCTAGCAATATAATCAAAACAAACATAGTGATTGTAGATTTTACATGTTTTAAATACAGGTTTTTAAATTTACAAATGAAAGCTAGCATCTGTTGCCAAATCAGCAGGTTGGAATTTTTTGTTGTTGTATCTTCAGCACTTGTCTGTTACACAGTAGTTGGAAGTAAGCCCTAATCTTGCAGTTACACATGCACTTGATTTTACACATGGCACATAATACAGTCAAAAGCGATTAACAGTGCGAAGTGTAATGACTTGAAGTATCAAAGAAATCTCTGTAACAGATGATTTAAAATTCAACTGATACGTGTATGTATTAAGAGGTTAAAAGAGTACTTGCTTTTTCTGCTGTTCCGTTGAATAGAAAAAACATGATGTTTTCTAGCTCCTGAGAATCTCTGAGCGTTTGTCAGCAATAGAGAACTGCAAAATACATAAGCAGCTCTCCTGCAGGCTAGTAACAGTGAGGGTATTCCAGTTAGAAATTGCTTCATTTGTGCTGTTTGTTTTAAAAATAATACTGATTTTGTGTGATCAGATATAACTTTAACTTGTGTATTTTTTGACCTGTCATTGAAATAATAGGATTTAATTGTCTGTGTTTTTGTTTGGCTTCTTAAATTAATTTCCCATACATATTTTTTCTTTAGTACAGATAAGATTATGTTCTCCTTAGTAGTCTTAGGAGCTACTAGTTTGTGCTTATTTGTATTTCAAATCATAAAAGCTATTAATTACTTCAGAGATTAATGAATTTTTACACTTTGCTCTTTTTTGGGTCTGAGCTGAATACAGGAAGTCATAATACGTAAAATGTATTTTCCACTATTAGCCTGTAGATAAAATAAATCTAGTCACCTAAGTATGTTTTAAAACAGTACTGTAACATTCATATTGGGTTAAAACGTTTCCAACTAGTAAGAATGCAACTCTGCAACATACTATGTAATGTCTTATTTTTAATAAAGCTTTTACTTACTGTGTAATTTAAGGCCTTCAGCAGGTAAACTGATAGGATTCACAAAGTATTCTTAAAGATAGTCTAATAGGGTAAGATCCATGTGAAAGAGTCTGCTTCAGCTCTTGAGGTTTTGGGGTACGTGTTCAAATATCAAGTCATCTTCACTGAAATCTCTGTAAGCGCGAGTGAAGTGTATGTTGATCTCTAGGATTATATTTTAGGTGTAATTTCTGGAGCTGGTTTTGCCATCAGTGGTACGTGTCATGCATGTTTTGGTTCTCACGTTTGATCTTGGCACCTACGAAATGACCAGATAGGTACAGCGTAAGGAGAGAGGTCGTTTTCAGCATCCCAGGTTACGTACCACGTTTACAAGCTTTATCCATGAGCCACCTATGCATTCATTGTAAGAGGCAACAGAGAGAAGCCACTGTAGTTTCTGGAGTGGGACAGCGGTAGGTAGGCTCAGCACGGGGAAGCACTGTTGCATAAGTGTCGTCCGTCAGTGCACCTAGAAATGTCTTTGGTTTTGGACGCAGCTAGAGAGCACTGAATAATCCAGCACGACAGGTGACAAAGGCTGAAGCTAACGTAAGAATATAGGCTGCGCTTACCTTTTTAATAACAAGAGCATGTCTATTAAGTGGCAGTAGCTGGAGGAAAAACTTGCTCCTGTGTGTAGAAGGAGGAAAATGTCTGTTCCAGGATCTCCAAGAAAACACAGTTATTTGACAAGAATCCACCCTTTGCTTGCAGCCAGCAAAGAGTAAACTCCTGCACGTACCAACACCAGTCTGAGGTTGACTCTTATGGTTCAGGGAACTCAGTGTTAGCTGTACACGGACTTGTCATCTGTACTCTTATGTAATCTTTCTAATATACATTTCTTAAGATGCCTGTCGTAGTTTATAAATAACTTGCATAACTTAATTTTGCAAGTCACAATAGGGATTCTTTTTGCCTTTTAAGCCCTTTTTCTTCCTTCATCATTTTCTTTCTTAAGCAGATTTACAACTCGAGTGCGCTAGTTTTTCCCTTTAAAAAGGAATTGATGAGTGACTCTGGGTTGATACCTCAAGCCTGACATGCTTTTGAGGTGCACAAGAGTGAACGTAACTGTTTACTCTGCTCTGTCTTGGAAGAGCTGCCTCTGAAGTATGTACTTCTGTTACCATTCAGCTGTTAAATGTTTGGGGAAAATGGAAGGACAGATGAAGTAAGGATTTGGGGAATGGTGAAAAAACGAAGGAAAAGAGCACAAGGAGAAGCACAACTTCCACCATGCATGTTACACCCACCTTTATTTGAAACACATTTATAGCTCTTGAAGTCTTGAGGAAACTTAAAGGGGAATTTCCATAGATCATTGGGTGCAGCTCTCCACTACTGCAGGGTGACCATGTCATGCTTTGCTTTCATATACTGATCAAGATCCATTTAGTTTTTTCTACTGTTCTACTTGAAATGTCATTTTGGAACCATTCTGTCCTTAAAATTGGGAAAGTTTTTCTAATGTCCAGTCTGCAGGGTTTGTTATGCTGACTGATAAGTTCCCAGCTTAAATTAGAAACTTCGCTATCACTGAATGTATGAGCTTATAGTTTAGAGGTCAGGTGAGCATCACATTAGTTAATCCAGCTTTGTGCCTCATACTCTTTTCTGTGTCTAGAAATTCACTTTTGAGAAGATGGCGTTGTAATTTTGTTACCATGTTGTTAAGTGTTGCATTCTTCTCTCAATTTTTTGGTTTAACTGCAATGCCTAATAATTCGCACGTGTATATTTTTCTAAAACTTTGTATGCTGAAGCTCAGACTAAGGAGTGCCTAGTGGATGAGGTTAGTGGGTCCTTCCTTACCTTAAATACCGGTGCTGCACATGATAGTCTTCTGTCTGGTAGTCGTTGCTGACTTGACTAGATTTGCTGGAAGTATTTGTATGTGCTGAATGTCTTAATTCTGGCATACAGCTTGTTAGTTCCACTCTGATTTGAGAGCTCTTTGCAGTTAGACTACAGCTTGATTGTGATAATTTCTCTTGCTATTCCTTTTTAGAAACTATGTCAAAACACTCAGTTTGAGGGTGTTGACCTTGCTGCAGAGAGTCTGTTTTTTTAAATCCCTTTTTATAGTTAGGCTGAAAAACAGTAAGTGATTTGACTTGCAAAATATTCAAAGCCCTGCACAGGTACTGACTAATTTTCACACTGGCCGTGGGATATAAGTGAGTAATGACCTATGTTATAAAAAGGGAAAGTTAGTACAGTAGCTTGTCCAATACCATGCATACTGATGCTTAGTTGCGAGGTAGTTTTCATTATTGTTATTTTAGAGGCATACATGTAACTTTACTTATTTGACTGAATTGTGATTTGGGATAAGTGTGTTTAAAATTATGATGTGTTTGCTGTCAGGCCTGTAATGGTGCTTAGAGTATGGGTAGAGATAAGTAGATGTGAAAATAATGTGGATCCTTGGTAGCAGGACTGATGGATCTTGAATTTTGGTTCCAATTAATCTCTAGTAAAATCTCCTTTTTTTTTTCAAGTAAAAGGAAGAAGTGGCTCTCTACAACTCTGATACAAACTGTCTTTATTCATTTAAAAGGCAGCATAGCTTCTCTATTTCTACCAGTTGAATTTAAATTGGATCACTCATACATTCAGAATTAGCTGCTTTAGAAAACTTCACTTTGGAAACTTTAGAAAAAAACTTTAGAAAACTGCTTACATGGCTAGAGACAGATGCACTTTTGGGACATACAGAATTTTCTGTGTTTATCAGTTCTGCAGTAGGAGCCAGGCTCATATACGTACCCGACGTTATAACATGTTAAGATTTACTTACAGATTTACAAATAATAGTAGGGCACTTCGGAAGTAGCCTTTGCTGTACAGTTTCGAAAGCTTTTTCCTGAAAGAGGAAGAAACAAAAGAACAGATAAAGCAGTAGCTGCAAATAGTTGCAGAAAAAACTAAGCTACGTGCTGAAGACAAACTTCTGTTACAGAAAACTTGCCTTGCATTTCATTGCTCTTTCTCCTACTGGATTTGCATAATTATTTTAAAGGGATGATGAAGATAACATGAGGTATGTGTGGGGGATCGCTTTTTCAAATTAGGAATGTAAAAGTTTGCATTTTTGGCTTCACTTGTTCTTAGACTAGAGATGAAAAAAATCTTGTCTAGTTGCTGTGACTGGAAAAGCATCCATTGCAATGCAGCAGAAGAATAGGCAGTGATAATTAGTCACTTCAATTTGGGAAGCCAGAGATCTTATACTGAGGTTTTTCACCGATTCAAAATGAAGAAGAGAAAATGCAGGCAATCTGCAGTTCATTGTGGCTGGAGGGATGATGTTGATTTTGGTAGCAGCACCAAGTCGATAGCAGTCTTTCTGGAACTGACTCCCTGGGGGATGGATAAAGAGTTTGAAATTATTTTCTTTATTTTTTTATGGAATGACACACTTCTTCATTTTTGGTTACGTTGATCCCTGCATGTGTAACTAAAAGTCTCACTGTGAACCACTGGAGTTGGTAGGTTATTCAATGAGAGATGTGCAATTTCTATTACAGTGATATTTCACTAGTGGCTCTCTGGGGAGTTCTTGCATTAATGCTATCTCAGCAGACCCTCTGTAAGAAGGTTTTGTCTAGAAAACTGAAGAGTTTTCTGAACTGAAGAGCATGGGAAAGTATGCACAAAGATCAGTGAAGGAAGCTTGATCATTAGGATTAAATTCCTTTTTTAGGATAAGGCTGGGGTTGGTAAGGAAATCCATCTCAAAACTTTCTCTGCGATGCTTCCGCAAGAGGACAGAAAAGTCTCTGTTTTTTAAACTTTGAAAGTGTTATGAAACTTTAATATTTTTGTCAGCTCAGAGTTGATGATGCACTCATCAACAGTGCGTATTTGTTTTACTTTAGGATTCATCGTGGTTATGGTACCTTTCTACCTGTGAAGTGTTTTGCACAAACTTGTGAGCGTTGTCACTAATTTAGCATCTGGGTAATGAGGAGGATGTTCCTTCTTGAACTGCTTAATTAAACGGGAAAGTTTGGTCTGTTAGTAAGCACTTATGTTTATTAGTCTACTAATAGTAGTTGCTGCCTACTGGTAATGGCAGAAGCCTACTTTTAGATGCTGAGAGACTTGAATCTTCAGCATATTTTGGGTGTCAGACAGACAGCTGTTGCCACAAAAGGCTTACTATGGATCATGTTCTTTAATCTATTAACACTGAAGTATATGTATAACTTAGTTAAGGTTGTGTTTTAATACCTGCATTTAAAACCTCCTTCCCTTTTTCATTATGCGCAAGTAATTAAAAACACTGTAAAATTATTCAGAAGGGTAGGTGTGGTTCCTTACTATGGACTGAATAGGACTTTCATGTATTTCTGGGAGATCGCATGCAGATATGTGAACATGAAAGTGGGCCAACCCTCCTATATTTGCTTTGTCTTCCTCCTTATCAGGCAAGTGTGAGCAGTCTCTGCTCTTTCGTACAGACATACTCTCGCGTTCATCTTAGAGCATTGGTTGAGCCTCTGGAGAGGTTCTGTGTCTGCATGGCAGGGATGGCACTGCTGAAGGTGGAAGACTAGAAGCACTGATATTTTTCCCCAACAGCAGGGTCTTGGAAGCCTCCAACTACCTTCCTTTCTCAGAATATAGATGAACGGTGTGCCATCCTGTTTTTTCTGAATATTGTAAAAATTCCTTGGGCTGATATATTTTTCTATTCATGTCTTCAAAATTGTGCTTTTGAAGCCCACATATTGGGGGGGGGGGGGTTCCCCCGCTTATAATCAGTGGTTGCATTTGTTTCTTGATGTCTATCTTGTTTAAGGCAAGAGGTTGAAGCTTTACTTTGATGTCATTGCTTTCATCAAGATAAATAGTAGTAAACTACTAATAGATTGGCTTCCTGGTCTTAAGACTCTTGTCTGTGGATTTAGAAACATACCCTATTTCTTTCTGATCGCCCTCATGGGTGAGGTGTAGGTTGCCGAAGTCTAAGTAAAGGAGTAGAGTGGTGAGAGGTGGTGTGGGCTGGCATTTCCACAGGGCTGCTGTTGTAGGATTTGAAAGTTAATTTTGAGGACAAAGTAACCCACCCAGGGCGCTTGATGTCATTTTAACTTGCTGTGTCATTTTTTTTGGTACTCTTTAAGGCTTTCTATTTTTTTGCAATTTTTATAAGCAGTGATTTTTTTTTTTTTTTCCCTGCTGCGTATTTTCTGGCACTAATGTTCTTTTGTTTTTTTTTCCAGCCAAGCAAGCTATATGGTTTATTTTAACACAAGAAAATACATGCTATGGCTCTTCTGCTGCCATATGAGCAGGTCTGCTGTGCTCTTTTCCTCATTTGTGATGGCAACACAAATCTTTTATCCTCTGAAAGAGTTGGGCTTACTGTGCATGTCTTATAAGCATGTCTTACTATACCTAGGTAAATGTTCTTGCTCCATAATTGCCCCTGGTCAACGAGGTGTAAAGCAGTTGAATGTTATCCTGAGAATAATTCATGAAGTCTGTTTGTGACTGTCCTCTTTTTTCCAAGCAAAGATAAGTTGAATTTCTCGAAATAAAGAGAACAAGCGATGAAAGACTGTATCATAATGCATGAATAGTATGGAGGGTATATTTGATATAATGGCTTGTGTGAGTCTATCTCTCTATGTATTTATTTATTTGGGATTTTAAAAGCCACAGATGAAAAGTTAATCCCTACATAAGATGTTTGGGTATTTTTTATTTATATATATATATTTTTAAATAAAAACACTGGTTCACTGTAACTTTTTTCTTATAAAGTGCTTTGCAAAGGTAGGTTAGTATTCATTTTTTTCTGAAAATCTGTTGTGTAAAACAATCTAGAAGTATGTGTGAGTACTTGCAAATCATGTCCAATAACAACAAAGTCCAAATGACTTTTTTTTAAGTTTATTTGACAGTAGACTGTCTTAGTTACTATACAAGGAAGAGAAATAATTAATAGAAAGCAAGGAAAACTTAAATACCTCTTACTTTGTTTATGGAACAAGCAACTACTTTATTCACAAAGGTATAAAGAATATTTGTCTCCAGATTGCTTTTCGTGTGCGTGAGAACCATCGCTTATACCATCGCCACTTACATAAGTGGTGATACGGGCTTTGGCCCTTTGGGAGAGGACGTAGGAGCAGGTGGGGGGACAGAAATTGAAATATAGTAGCTTCTGTTGTTGTCTCATAGTCTAGTGGTCTCTATGACATTCAGGAGTGACCTGACATTTTTTTCAGAGCGTTGCATCTCTGTTTGAAGCTGGTGGGGACTAAAGGTGTTTCGATTGTTTGAAAGCAATCCAGTTTTATGTGAAAAATGACGCGACTAAGTATCAAACCTGGCAAAGGATTTGGGAGTTTTGCAAGAGCTAGGGTTTGTGCTTTGTTCTGGAAGTGTAATTCAGAACGTTGCGTTGGACATCTACCATTTCTGTATGGGAAGAGTGAATCACCCTCTGACCTGGGGGCTGCTAGGAGATACCTGAATGCAAATGTTCAGCCAGACGGGAGTCTGGTTTTGAATCATCTCGGAACCAATTTCAGGAACTTGAGTTAGCTTGGATAGTAGGAAAGGTCCCCAAAAGATAAATTTTTGTAATCCTTCTTCTAAAAAAAAAATAAGCAGGGATAACTCTCTTCAAATTGAGAGATGGGAGCAAGAAGGAGCGCTCTCCTGTTATAAGGTAGTTCAAAGGTGACTCTCACCTGGGAAGGGAGGGGGGTTCAAACCTACCTCTGCAATATACTAATAAAATGTGCAGCCAAGGGAGCATAGGTGGAGATGTTTTCCTCTTTTGTTAAAGAAGTGCCTTAAGCAGCGGAGGCTCACTGGGGGTGTAAGGTAACAGCCATCATGTCTAGTGGTTAGTGCAGTCTCCTGTTCTGAGGGAAGGGGCTTGGGCGCTTTCCCTTCCCACCCCTCCCCAATGAAACAGTGCTGTGAGCACAGCCTTGAGTTTGGAAATTACTACTTGGTCTCCGTTGTGAGAACCAGCAGATGAGGATAGACCTTGGTAAACACAGAATAGGTATCTAGATGCTTTTCAAAACCTGGACAATAGTGTATTTTTAATTTAAGTGCCTTGTGGATTAGAAGAAGGATCAGAGGATGAGCAGAGTCTTTTTGGGGGGAGAAGGAATAATGATTTTTGCACTTGGGAATTTCAGTTGTTCGTAACCCCTGCTTAAATTCTGCACGTGAGCCTTCAGCTGAAAATGTTAGCCGCTGCTGTCAATCACTTGATTGCCTTCTGGATTTTGGATAATTGTATACTAGCTTGACCGTTGATGCACAAATGCAATTGTTCTTGAGGCTTGCCTGAATGAAAACTAAGTATAATAATCTTTAATGACACACATTCGTTTAGGTTTTTCTGGATTGTTTCTCTTGGTCAGCATTTTAATATCTTTTAAATGTATTCATAGGTAAAAACATCAGAGTTTTATCGATACTCCCGGCAGCTGCGACATGAGGTTGACCAAGCCATGAATTACTTTCATAGCGTTCACCAACAGCCTCTGATGGAAATGAAATCGAACAAAATTCGTTCTGCCAAACCCCAGACTGCAGTATTTAGAGGAATGATAGGACACAGTATGGTAAACAGTAAAATTCTTCTCTTGCACAAACCAAGGGTCTGGTGGGAACTAGAGGGTCCTCAAGTACCTTTACGACCAGACTGCCTTGCCATTGTGAATAACTTTGTATTCCTATTAGGCGGGGAAGAACTGGGGCCAGATGGTGAGTTTCATGCTTCATCCAAAGTGTTTAGATATGACCCAAGACAGAACACGTGGTTACGAATGGCAGACATGTCTGTTCCGCGATCTGAGTTTGCTGTTGGAGTTATTGGGAGGTATGTTTATGCAGTGGCTGGGAGAACCAGGGATGAAACATTTTACTCAACTGAGCGGTATGATATTACTGAAGATAAGTGGGAATTTGTGGATCCTTATCCAGTCAATAAATATGGACACGAAGGGACTGTGCTTGGTAACAAGTTGTATATCACTGGTGGAATTACATCATCTTCAACTTCTAAGCAAGTGTGTGTATTTGACCCCAGTAAAGAAGGGACAGTAGAGCAGCGCACAAGGAGAACTCAAGTGGTCACTAACTGTTGGGAGAACAAATGCAAAATGAATTACGCAAGATGCTTTCACAAAATGATTTCTTACAATGGTAAGCTTTATGTCTTTGGTGGTGTCTGTGTGATCTTGAGGGCGTCCTTTGAATCTCAAGGATGTCCTTCTACAGAGGTTTATGACCCAGATACTGATCAATGGACTATATTGGCTTCTATGCCAATCGGTAGGAGCGGTCATGGCGTAGCTGTTCTGGACAAACAGATAATGGTTCTTGGAGGCCTTTGTTACAATGGTCATTACAGTGATTCAATCCTCACCTTTGATCCAGAGGAAAACAAATGGAAAGAAGATGAATACCCAAGGATGCCCTGCAAGCTGGATGGTTTACAAGTGTGCAGCTTGCACTTTCCTGAATACGTATTGGAGCATGTTAGACGTTGCAGCTAAAAGCGAGTGGAGCAACCCAGTCAAATGTAAAAAGCTATCCCTAATTTGTCAGGAAATCCAAACCAGTTGAATTTCTCCAGAGACGTTAACTTGTGTATAAGAACTGCTAAATGCTTAGAGAAACAGGATGTACAGGGAGAGTACTTAACCAAGTCTGCTAGAAAAACCAGTAGTTGGTCTGGTATTGTAAAAGCTTTGTTTTTTTAACAAACATAATTGTAAGTAGAGGAAAGAAAAATATATTTTTCAGTGTGCTTATTTTTTGGTAGCATTTTATGTCCATAGTACTTTTTTTGTTTTAACTGGCCTTTACACCACTATGCTTCTGAAATCAATTGGAGTTTAACAAAATATCTGTGGAAGGAAGAGAAGGAGGACTTTATTTTCAATTTTTTTTTTATTGAGCATCACAATAGAACTCATCAGCTGTACTAGGGTACAACCAGGCTTAAAAGAACAAAACTGAACTGTTGTTGTATGTTATGTTGTCTTTGGAATCTTTTCCCATTAATTGCTAAGTATTCTCAATTCTGCTAGGCATTTTTGTTTTCCCTTAAATACATTTAAGAATAATCTTAACCCCTTTGCATGACTTTTTTCCTGGTTTTGTATAGTAGTACCAGTAAGTCTGCCAAAATGCAAATTATACATTTTCTACTAAATTGAAAATGAAACATTTTTGTATTGAAAACACTATTTCTATGCTGCCTTCTGTTGTCTGCATTGTGTTTGTTGGTGGTAAAATATATGCACACACATGCATACACTGTAAAATCTATATATAAATGCATCTTTTTATGTGCAGTTAGGATATTATATTTTAACTAGTGCACAGATTCAGCCATATCTGTTGAATTTTAGGTAGAGTATTATCCTTTAATGAGCTAAATAATTAAAAAATTCTTAAGTAACTGGAGGCCTCCTTTGGTATCAAAATATCTTATCTTTAGCCTATACTGATTGATTCAGTAACTTTGAACTCTTTATATTGATGCTACATAATGAACTGTTAATAATTTGTTATTTTATATATTATTTTTAAAAAGTAAAAAATACATCTTTCCTGAATTTCTTTTACTTTTGAATGTGCTGCCCCCCCCCTTTTTTTTTTTTAAATGGAAATGTGAATAAGCAAATGCTGAACACTGCTTTGACCCACAGTTATTTTTAGAACTGGATGTACTATAATTTATTCTCAGCAGAGACTTTGCTTGTACTTGTGTTGAAGTGGTATAATCTTTTTTTTGATTATCTGTAGCTGTGAACTACTGTGTTTTGAAAATGTGGAGTTAGATGGTTAGTACCATTTATATTTCTTTTACAAAAAAACCTGCACAACTATAGCTACTGACCTCAGAGTCCCTGAATTGAGATATGTCGTCCGAGAGGGCTTTTGAAACTGCATTGTGTTAACTTGCAGATTTTCCTGACAGTAGATTGGTAGGAGTATCTACCAAGATACAAATAATACTAAAAGTAGTTATTCACATACTAATTTTATTTAATGAGGTGAAATTAGCCACTTCTAGATTCTAAAGGGGAGGTGTGGGGAACACTTAATTCAGATGTGTAGGGCCAAAATGCTGAAATATGCACCTGCGTGTTTTGTAAAATCTTAGGCTACTGTGTTTTACTTTAATCAATAGACTTTATATGCAGCATTGCAAATCCACTTTATGCAGCATCTTCTAGTCAGAAATCACTGTAGGAAAGGAATGTATAGTACTCAGGGAGTTCAAAAGAATGCACTTATACAGGGACCAAAATCATCCCAATTTGCTATATTAAAAATATCTACTTGCCTAAACAAAATTAGAAATGATAAAAGTTCAAACAATTTGTTAAACTCCTTATAGTTGTATTTAATGGGGTCTTTGTAGTAATTATGTTTCGGGTGGAGACATGAGGTTATGGAGCTATACGGCAGATTAGCAAAATTCTTTTTTCATTAGTAAAGATTGATTGATAATTTCTCTCTGCAAGTTTTAACAGAGAGTGTATACCATCATAGGTGTAGTGATAAGTTAGTTATCTATGCCAGTAGTGACTGGACCAAATATTGATATCCAGCCTTCTGATGCAGACGAAGACTTGCAGTTAAGTTTAAGTGTGTTTATCAACATTCAGTTTACTGAATAAGAAATTCAATTTACTTTTTGAATAACTTAACCTGCAGTCTTGTTGGCTTACACTAAGACCCCAATTTCGCTATGAGACTTGTGTATATGTTAACCTGCAAAGGTGCAGAGACTAACTGGCTTCACTTGGTGCTGGCTGTGTGCAGGTGAAGAGGTTCTTACTGTACATATCTCATGGAAAATTGGGGCACAAGTTAAAAAATATATATTTTTACTGTTTTTATCCCTTTTGTGACTAATCTATTTCTTAATAAGCTTATGGGGCAGTGAAGACTAATCCTGCCTAAGTAGGCTTTCATGGGCTTGTTATGAGTAGTAGGGAGTATTTCATCGTTTTCATCTAGGGCCAGTCTGGGCAAAGGATATGTTTCTGGAAATCTCGTCTTCCGTGATTCAGGTGTAAAGAGAGATGACCAAGACTTTAGTAAAAAATAATGGTAAGGGCGTCTAAGTTACGTCTCTGGCTCTGTGTCTAAGCACCTTCTGAAGTTCTGAGCGTTAAGCGTCTGTCAGTAAAGTGTTTGGTGAGTACCTACACTTGGAAAGTGAAGAACCCAGGTGATTTTTAGGTGCTCTGCTTTTAAGTTCGTGTTTAACTTCAGGCAGCCGGTTCTGCAAGATCTTGCTCAGGATCGTAGTAGTAGTTATTCTGTGAAATTCTGATTTGAATCGTTGGTTTCAGCTTCCCTGAAGTTGTGTCTCCATTGAAAAGCTGGCAGTAACCTCCTGAGCGTTAGGAATGATTGGAATTTGCTTCAGTTTGGAACGTGTGGGGGTATGTCAGAATGCTTTGTTAAGTTACATTGCTACCATGCTCTTACTGTTTCAAACATCAGATATAAAATTAGCTTACGTTCTCTTTTCCATTGCCGTGGAACTTTTGAGACGCTTATTTTTGTTGCATTGTATCTCAGAGGGATATTTTCTTTTTCATTAAAAGGTTCTGTCTGCATTTGCTTTTAGTACCTAGCTCCAAACAATTTAGTGTTTAAATAAAAACAAAACAAGGTTGGCAAATAAGAACTCCCTATTGCTATCAAATTTTAAACATGATGATTAGATTAAAATAGGGTCAGTTTTAAAAACTTCCAAGTGGCTCTCATTCATCAGGGAAAAGGTAAGTCGCACTCTGTGATTAGTAAATTTGAGGGGATTTTTTTCTTCTCCTGTTCCCACTTCACCCTTTATGTAGTATCAGAAAGCCTAATCTCACATACTTATTTAAAATTTAACACGTGACCTGCTTTTAAACAGCAAATGTACTTGCCTTTCCTTGAAAGGATGGACATAGTGAGTTACAGCTTGAGCTCTAGTTTTTTTCACATTTATAGTAAAATGTATTAAGTTCATGTCTTAATTTTTTGCAGCTAGTTCCAGGAGGGAAATCTGTTTCCATATGAATCAGAATGGACAAAAAGTATAGTGCTTCTGTAAAGGGCTTGAACACTGCCAGTTCCCATTCAACATGCTGCTGTCTGTTTTCATGGGCCAGATTTCCCCCCCCCCTTTTTTTTTTTTTAATTGCTACATAAAGAGAAAAATCTCTTCCCTTCCTCCCTCCCCCCCTTACAGATTTGGCAGTAGTTTCATAGTGGGAGGTAATAGGTGGCAAACAGCCTTTTGAACATTCAGTCCCCACTGATTTAGCTGAAGGAAGGTGGTACTTGATTTTGGAAAGGATCTGCTATTTCAGAAAGCCCTGCTAGCAAGAGGGGCTACTAGCAGCATATCAGGTAGTTGGCAGCCTGCTGTCATCTTTTGAAAAATGTGGATGCCCTACTTCCCGCAGTATGATAGCAGTCCTGTTTTAACTAGTTCTAAGGTTTTGAGACTTTAATGTTTCTCTGGCCTCTGAGATTTGCAGCTGTTTTTTCTTAAGGCCCTCCTGCCTTAAAAATACAAATGCTGCCTTTTTTACGCCGATAATATATATTTGTATCGGGGATGAAGCTTTACCCGACGCTCAGGAGGCAAAGGATGAAATTCAGCGTGTACAGATTAAATTAGATTTTAAAAGAAAAACATTATTTAACTCACTATGTCCTTTCTTTTGCAAAATGTGGCTAAGCATTATAGGGAGATGCTAATGGCTCTTTTTAAAAATAAAAAAAACTTTAAACCAGTGTCTGTTTTATAAATGAAAAAGTCTTTTTAGAGGTGGAAATAATCCCATTTGTGGAGATGTGTTGCCATTCAATGAAATATTTTTCCTTACAAAGTGAAAGTAATGAACTGGGCCCCTGATTCTCATAACACTTCCAAGTATGTACTTCACATACGTGAACCATCCAATAAAGGACTGTAAAAGAAATGGAAAACTGCAAGGTACTTAGAAGAAAACAAAAACTCACAAATGTTATTAAACCTGTGTTTAAGTGTTTACAGGGTTGGGGCATCAAAGAAAACATCCGTTCGACTCTCCTTCATTTGACAAAAAATGGAAGTTACTTGGCTAAGTATGTTCCGTGACGTGTGGCAGTGTTCACTGAAGGAGCGTAGGAGAGAACGTAACTGGAAAGCTTGCTCGATTCGTCTAAAACAAAGCTTGCCAGTGTCCTGGAGCTAACATTTTGAGGTTTTAATGTTTGTAAAACAATATAAAGCTGCTTAAAATAAATACTAGTGACTACTTTTGCACCTGCACTCTGTTTTTTGAGAGTTGGTAAGTAACTTAGAATTTCCATTTTTGTGGGTAATCTTCGTAAAAATATAGTCATATTAGCAGGTGGCAGGAAAAGTGACTTCTGAGCACAGCTTTCCTGGATTTCTAAGTTTTTCACTTCCAAATTTCAACCTGTGCTTATGTAGTCTTCTATAATAATTTTCAAGAATCAGTTTCAAATACCTTCGGATTAATATTCAACTGGTACCAAGGGGAAAACCACTTTCTAGTTGCAGGTGATAGTTTTTATTTATGGCTCTGGTAGAAAGCCTTGCTGTTTAAGTCTAGAAAATGCAGTGTTATATAGGACTGCAAAGCTAGCTATACTTAGGGGGCTTTTATTACCTCAGTGAAACCCGTGTAACTTTCATGTCAGTTATGGGAACAGGTGGAGGGAAGAGCGAGCTCTGTTTTTATTTTAAATGTTTTCCCCTTATATATTGTTATTTTTGTAGCTCTTTTAAAAATATATTATTGTACGCCGAAGAATGCAATTCCACTCTAGTCTCCCACTGCGTTCCAGTGTACGATATCAGATTGTGTTGAAAAGAATGTATTTGATAAGTTAACAGGAAAAGTTGTTTTCAGACTCTGTGTTGGTGTTTAGCAATTGGAAAGACTTTTTCTATATAAATTTAGAATAATATATACATATATATATATGTCCTCATATGTACATTTTGGATTAACTCTCTAATGACTAACCCAGGGCTGCTATAAAATTCTTCTAATAATTTAAGAATTGCCTCTTTTTAACTGTTTTTAAAAGCATTTTTTCTTGTCATTTTTTGGCAGAAGGTAATTTTCCCTTGCTATGGATACAGTATGTTCAGACTTGCATATGTGCTCTGTTCTGTTTTTAAACTGAAAACATGTATAAAGTGTGTATAAAGAAAAGTGTAAATAAAATATTTTTAATCTTTAAACATTCTTGTGTAAGCTGTGTAATACTTCAGTGCAGTGTACCTAGATAACTCTCTGCAGTACTTAAAAGTTCAGTTGGTTAAGCAAATAATCAAAAATGTTAAGTATAATTCATAATGCTCTGTTAATGGTATGTGTATCATTATCACATAATGCAGTGTTAATGTTAAAGTTGTCCCTACAAGAAATGTTGGAAGTCCTTGTGTAGCATCAAGCTTTCATCTTTAGCTGTATTTTATAATCTTCCTTGTTTTAATTGCTCTGGTACATTCATGTATCTACTCTGTATTTCAAGCTGGAAATAATGTTCTGAGTTGACTTCATAGTTAAACTTGTAACTCAGCATCTAGACATAAATTTAAATGATAAAACTAAAAATTGATGCCAGCCTTTGTTAGTCAGAGTCCAGAAGAGTCTGTTCATAGCTATCAAACATCATTGAATTGGGGGCCCTGAGACAGCCAACATTTATTACACCTTTGGACCTGAAAGCGTCAGATGTCTAAGCCATAATGCTTTAACTTTTCTGTAACGAGAATCAGCATGCGTTTTAGGATTGTCCTCTCAGATTAGGACAAGAAGAGGAAAAAAACATAGCGCAGCAGACTGTGGTCTTTACTTATTTTTCTTAAGCAGTCTGATGAAAACCTTGTCAGTGTCCTGTTACATTTTTCCTTTTGTTTGCCACTATCTGTTTCTCAGCAGCCTCTCACTGTCAGATCAAAGTCAGTGGTATAAAGACCTACTATCAGGAATGTTTGAACATAACTGATTGTTTCATCTTAGGTTCTAAAATAACTTTTTGATTTTTATTTCAATATTGAAAATGACTTAAAACTAGACTTGTATGAAGTCACTATTTTTTTTTTTCCCCTCCCTCTTTGGTAACTTGACTTCATCCTACAATACATATATCCATTTAATGAAAGATACTGCAGATGCATTTGTATTGATCCCAGTGGAATACACCAGTGGAGAAAGAGCCTCTTTGATTGTGATGTGTTCCCATTTTCAGTTCAAAGGGAGACTAAATGTATTAGACTGATATGGTGGACGAGAAGATGACAGCAATCCCTTCACATTGTAGATTTGTTATTGGCAATTATTTTTATTCATCTTTTTAATCTCCCTTCTCTGTGAGACAGGTCATACTTTTGACAATAGCCTTCTTCTATGACGTTTTGCTGGCTGACATTACTTATTTCTTAGCACCTTCTCAGTTGATTGGGAATCCCAAATCGTGGTTCCATTATTTCACTAAGGAGAGCTCTCAGATTAACTGGTTCGTAGTTGCTTGTGTCATACTCTCTTTTTTGGAATATCTGCCCTTATTTTTGGCAGCAGTTCGGGATCATTTGTGACCACTTGGTTTGTGTGCGTGTGTGGTGCTAAATTAACGTTAGTTTGGCAAAAGGGTGGTTTTTTTTTTTTTTTTTTGGCTAATTCCTTCCAGGCTCTTTGGTAGAGGTTATCCACCTTTGCTGACTTGAAATCTTAACAGATGTTCCTCCTTTGTTACAGATTTTCCTTTTTTTCTCTCTCTTTCTATTCCATCCACACCACAACATGGAACAGAAAACTCGTTTCAGTATTTCAGATTCTTTATTAATTAGGTGCATTCTGAGTTTGTAATGCACTTGTTGACAGATGTTTCCTCTCCCCCCCTACTTTGGCTTATTGTCTTACTGATGTTTCAACATCATCTTTTAATCAGAGGAGTTTCTTGTTCAGTGTAACTTTTTTGGCATGTGTAAAATTTTGGCCCTCCCAAGGGAGAGGGTAGGGCCTATTTGTAAAGATAGCCTTAACTTCTTATTGTAACACTTTCCACTTTCACATTTGATGTGTTAGTTACACTGAGAGATGCTTTAGCTAATGCTTAGAGTTAAAAATGTATGACATCATGATCTCTATTTAAGTGTCCACCAACTCCTCAGTCTTCTATCCACTGCAATGAATGCCAGCATTAAACATCTCATGTTGAGTGCCCAGCCTTTCAGATTAATCCTATATAGCACTTTAGAAACTGAGAAAGTATTGTTTTGTCATATGTATTTATGCCAAACATGTCTCATGATAAAGTCACCGTTTGTAACAATTCTCATACATTTTATGGATAAATGTTGCTGAATAAATTATTTTTCTAATGAGATACATGGTTTTATTAGTTAACCCTCTTACATTATTTAATTTTACCAGATAAGATGATGATGTCTTACCAGCAGCTTCCTTTCTCATATCCATTTTCAGTATGTCCTCAGGCATATCTAAGCATTGCTTCATTTGCTTTTTTGTCATATGGTTCACCTCACAAATTTCAGTTAAACCAACATAATTCTTTTTCTATATGAAAATCTTTATCTCCAGTAGTTCATTACCTTAGGTCCTAGTATTGGCATACAGGCACTGTAAAACGTCACGTGTGTAGCCCTTTATGCTTGGAGATAATATACGCGCTGTGTTACGGGTCTGTTTATATATTTGAGTAGTACTGAGGAGACTGTCAGACTTTTCTATCCCTTCTTTGTTAAAAGAATTGAGCAATGCTAACTGAAACCAAATACTTTCCCTATGTGCTGCTTTTTTAGTTTAACTTCCTTAATCCCAGGGGAATAAAATAAAGGTTTCAGTATATTCCTTTTCTCTGCTTCCCTTTTCGGATTTCAGAAGTCACAAAATGTATGGAATTGTGTTCATGACAGTGACGCTGATGCCAGTATAAAGCACCGCATAAGCACTTACTGCTGTATTGGTGTGGCGTAGCCTTCGTTTTCACTCCTGGAAAGCAGGGAATTGTTTTGCTCTTTTCTTGCACTGCTCAAAGTCCTGTTGGCTAATTTATTTCTAGGATAGAGTCCTAATTACTTGTAATCCTTGGTTGGCTGTGGATGTTCCATGGGATTTGTCTCATTTAACAGCTGTTCTTGGTCCTCCCTCTGGCTCTTTACAGGTTGTTCTCAGATTTTTTTTTTTTCCCCCCAACATTGGTGGCAATTTGATACCAAGAACTTATTTTAACTTCTGATGGCAATTTTTAGTATTAAAATGAAACCCAGAAAGTTAAAAATTTGTCAAGTTTCAAAAGACACTTTAAAGTACAAAACCTTTTTCCTGATTCTTGGAGTTCATGTATTGCCATCTAGAAGTGTTTCTTACTATCGAGTGATATTTTTTTCCTTCACTGTTTCTTCTGACAGGTTATCAGAACACTGAAAAGAAATATACTGTTAGACAAATCAGGTGCTGATAATTAACTCAACTGTAGCTTTTAATTAAAAAAAAACAACTCAACATTTGGTGCTGATCAAATTATTAACAACCTTAGTGGAAATTTTTGGTTGACTTCTGAAAGATCTGCATTTTGGTTCAGTACTGTTCCCCAAAAGCAAGGGGAGTAAGGCTGAGCTCTACATGAGTTAAACTAAACATTCTAATCACAGAAATAGTATAAACTTTCTAATGCCCAAATAATGAACTAGCCCTACTTCACAGTTCTGAACCTTACAAAGTTATCACACTTGCTCAGTTTTAGTTTTGCCCTCGCTTTGCAGTGCAGAGTTGTTTTTATTTTGGTTTTCCACAGTGAAAAACAATGACAATGAGTATACATTTTGCTAAACTCGTTAAGTAGGTGTAGGAAGCGATGCTTTTACATTTGCAGTCTGTTCAAAGCAGAACTGCAAGCATTCAGAAGACTAAAGTTTAGTCATTTTCCAGTGCCCTAACTTCTGAAGATTTATACATTAGCTATGGATGAAAATCATCCAACATCCTCAAGAGATAACGCCTGGGACCAAGCATACAATTTAGCTGCTTCATGTTCCCATTCTTCATCTGTAAGAATAGATTGATCCTCAGGCTTTTCAGCTTGTGCGATTGTAGCTTCTTGATGTTCAGTGAAGTCACTCCTGTTTGTAATATCCAGTTTCTGTGCCTGTATAATACCATACATTGTTATAAAAATACAGTAACAACCTATTAAAAATTGTGTGATATAACTTCATAAATGGAGACAAACTAAATCAAATCACACTTGAAATGTGCTGTTCTTATCTATACAAATGCCAAAGCAAACTAAACCATGATTCTTTTAGCTGTGCCAGGACTGGCTTATACAAGACTTGTGCAGCTGACAAGGTGAAAATGTAGTTTCACATGCTATACTGGAGAGAAACAGTTGTAAGTAAAGACAGTGTCAGTCTGTACACCATTACCATATGACCCCTTAGTTCCTACAACTAAGCTGGCCTTAGCCCTCCTCCGGGAAGAAAACATATGAATGATTTCGCATTACAATAAGTAGATGGTGATAACATATGCTAAAGGTAGAAGGGGGCCAATGAACAATCTAGAGAAAAAGCTAAGGGAAAATTTCTAGATGGCGATTTTTTTTAAGTGCTAGTGAAAGAGCCTTGCAAAGTCTCTTTTAGAGTTCCATAAACGCACTTCAGGGTTAAACATATGTAAGGTCAGGTGTTACTCTTAAGTGATAAATGCACCCAGAATAGACGCAATACTCTGAAGGTACTAGATGTGATGGGTTTTGATTAACGTGAGGGAAAAAAAAAAAAAAAAAAACGCCCCACCCCCAAATCAATGGAGACGTGCAAAAACAGCCTGAATAAATGTCACTTGTCATGCTACCAAAGCGGAAGAAAACGTAGTGGGACTTCTTGGCTAAAAAGTACTCTCCACAAAAATACTGGATTCGGTCCTGAAGAACACAGCATGCATCTAATTTTGCATCATACCTCTTTTTCTTTCTCATACAAATAGGCCCTCTTCATTTTTGCTATCTTCTGTCGAGCTTGAGAAGAGCAACGTGTTGATTGCATGGACGCTGTAGTGCGTTGGTAAGAGCAAGACGAAGAGGTGACTGATGAATTACATGGAAATGACGACCTAGAAAAGAGTATTTAAAAAAACAACTCGGTAGCTTCTCCCAGAAAGGACGTTATCTAGGCTGAACAAATGAAACCATGAAACCAAATTTTATCTTCTAGAAAGGGAAAGAATAAAAAAGGTTTTCTCTCATCCTCTTTTCCTGTTACATCAAATGACAGTGGTAGTGGCGTTAGCAGGGAAGAAATTTGGACTTTTCTTAATGTGGCACTCACTTCTGACTCCCTTCTTACTTAAGCTGCCCAAAAAACCTCTGCAGAGCGCTCTGGTTCTCTTCTGATCCTTAGGATCCTCTAAGGTTTCGAGTCCCAGGCTAGAGGCTCGACAGGGAAGCAAGTCAGGACTCAGACCAAGGCTTCACTTATTATGTAAGTATAGGCATCACTGTTCAGGTATGCAAAGCCTTCCCTGTGTCTCAAGGAACAGCTAGCTTGCATCGTGAAAGCCATAGCACAGCATACAGCGATATATCTTATATGCTCCAGAAGTTTTCTCTGTGTGTGTGAATGGGAAGTCCCACGGACTTCACTATAACTCCTCTCACTCCTAGCAGCGTGTGTAGATTCCTTTAGAAATGTTAAAATGCAGTTCCTTTACAGCAGAAATTAAGGAGGCACAAGGCAGTTAAAACACTTCTAGTAATATAAAGTACTAATTGTACAATAGTATATGTAGTATATGTATATATATTAATCATAATATATACTATTTTTCATTCATGGGGTAGATATCTCTACATACATGATCCTCTGGAGGGGGACAAAAAATAAAAACCCTTCAACATTGATTACAGTAAAAAAATGAGTTATAAGTAATAGTGACATTCTTCGCTCACTTTGTTAATTATTAAAGAGGTAGCACAATGAAGAGAAGAAAGCGTGCCTTTCCTGAAGAATTATTTGGTAGCCCAAAAGCAGTCATCCAGATAAATAAGATACTACATTTAATATACAAGATTATGTAGATATTGATGTCAATATATTTATAGGCACATGAGGTGAAGATATCCACATCCCCTTATTAAGAAATTAAGGATTAGTGTGAAAGTGATTTATTTATTAAGTTAAAAGATTTCATGTATTAAATATTTTACAAGTCTGGCAACAGATACAAGACTTTTCACCTTTTAGCCTCAGTTAATGTCCAAAATTTATTCATTTATGTGTTTATACTTGGAAAGGAGTTGGAATTATTGTGATTGGTGCTTAAGGGCATCAAAAAGATATTTGTTAGTTTGTATGTTTTCATTGTTTTTAGTAGTATACAGCCTGTGCACTTCAAGATGATTGCTACACCTTGCATTAACTGTCATCTCTGTTGGTAGCATCAGCAACTTGTTAATAGAAGAGCTACTCATTTATGCCGAAGGAAGAGCCTAGAAGGGAGTAATTCAAAAATGCTGGAACTAAAGCTATTGATTACTACAGTAAGCCAGAGACTTGAATTATGGAAGGAAAGTTAGGTTGCTTAACTATGGTAATATCAAAACAGAAACTGTATTCAGTTGGATTGAACTGCTTTTTGCACAACAGGTTTCTCTCTTCTACCTGTCACCTGTCTTAGAATATAGAATCTTTACTTAGAAAGCACTGAGTATATCTTGGATGCTGTCAGAATGTGACAAAGCTAATGACAGCATACAGAAATTCAAGTACTGAATCACGTAAGAGAGGAATGCAGTAATCTCTTTGATGTAATTAAAGGTAAGTCAGTGGGAAAGCACAAAGAAATCTGGAATAGCATCTGCCTATTCTTAACACATGATTTGCCTGTTGAATATATGACTTCAGACCTTGTGGCTGCCAAAACAGCACCTCTGAAAAGCACTAAATGCAAAATACTTTATACACGGTAAGCTGAAAAGCAAAAGCACAAGGTAAGCTTCACTCCAAATAAAACAGTATCATTAAATACAAAAACCTGCTTAACCCATTTTTTCCAACTTAGAGAATGAATAAAATAGAAAGAATGAAATAGGATTTCTATGAAAATACAACTACTCCCTTCATAAGGCACTGGATGAAATCTGTCATCATACACCCCTATAAAAGGCGGTTCAATTAGCTGTTGAACAGATATGTGTTAAAAGTGACAGTGACCTAAGAAACAGATCATATGCTTTGGAGACCTACCTAGAAAAGCTGTATACCTGACACGTCACATCCTACTGTGCTTGGTGCAACATACTGAGAAAGACAGGTTGACAAGGAACGTCAGGTGAAGCGGCTTGAAACTGAAAGTTTAGTTTATTGGAGCCCTTGTAGTCATACATTTTCTATTAGCGCATGTTTTCAAAATAACTTGGAAGAAAGAGAGATCTGCCAAACAGCATTCCTTTAACTTAAAACACACACAAAAGCAGTAAGAGGCAGAAAAGCAGTTTACTGTATAAAGACTTTAAAAATGAATTCCCAACAGGCTGACAAAAAGTAGTGGCATGTCACAGTATTATACATTCCTTTCAATAAAGAAAAGGTGCATGGAAAAACACATTTTTTGGAGGGGAAAAAAAAAGATATATCATCAAAGAGAACATCAAGATAAGCTAGCCTTTCAGAATTATAGTTTTCCAATGATCAGTGTCACTTAATGGGTACATGTTACAAACTCAAATTTAAAATCCGACAACCCCCCCCCCGCAAAGGCATGGCAAATAACTGTCTAGTAAAGGACTATTCTTTTGACAAAAAATTAAAACTATAAAAAAGCAATCTAATACAACATTATGAAAGATCTGAGTGTAACAGCTAAGTCAAAGAATTAGGAATAAAGTTTCTTAAATGGTACTTTTGCCTGGACCATCTTCATTTATGTAGCAACATTTTCAAATTTCTCTGAGCTGCAGTTTTCTAAAGGAAGTATCTTTCACAGGTGTTTAGAAAGGCTAATTACCAAGTAAAGTGAAAAATACTGGCATGCAAAATAAAATTAAACTTGGTGCAGGTTCTTACCTAATATTAGAAACAGCCTTGAGTTGATCATGCCAAAGCTCTTTATTCTGTGGCCTCAGCAGCAGCAACTTCAGCTCCTTTTTAAGTCTGTCTGACATTGTTCTGGACTGTGCATAATCCATTATGTCATACACTATCATTGTCCTAGGGAAATTGTTCAGAGACAACCTTCTCCAGCAATTATTCCTGCCACCAAAGTATGCAGGGGTTTCATCCAGATTACTGATATACTGTCAAAGAACAATACACCCTGTATGAAAACTAATATATTTGTATTGGTCTTTTCTATAAAGATTTTCCCATTCTTTTTTTGAATCAGACATATCAATTACCTTAAAGATGAACTTGCACATTAAAGAAAAAATGCATTCAAGATGGTGGAGCTCCATAGTCTGCTTTACATTTTTGTTTGTTAAAAAAAAAAAAAAAGGTATCTGTTCTGTAGATATTTATACCTGCATTATGTAAGCGTATGAATAATTGCTGTGTAATCACTGAATTTTAAAAGATTACAAAACTATGTATATTTAACATTTACACCACTGTATATGCAGTAACAGCTGGACTTTACTCTTCTTGTAACAAACTTAAATACTAAAACAGTTAAAAATCGTTCTCCTCCATTCAGTTGGGAAATAGTGTCAGTCCCATCCACAGCCTGGGATTGCACTTTGGTTAAGAACTAACCAGAACAGGTCCTATTAGTTTACCTCAATGGCATCACTCTTCTTTTTGACTCTCACGTCATTTTTATCTTTGAAAATTTTCTGCCTCCAACCCTTTGAGGATGAATAAAATACATCAAAAATGTGACTGCCTTGCAAATATCAGTCAGAGTCGGAACATGTACTCTCACAAAGCTGCTGTAAAATAGTATGAAATCACTTTTCCGCAAACGTTTGCCACAGCCTTACTGCTTACTTTCCACAGATATAAATGACTGCAAAAAGTATAATATTATGGTGAAAAGACCCAGTATCATTCTTTACCTGTAAGTCACTTATCTACATTTTAGATAAAATCCTAACTTCCTTGCTAAAGAGGGAATCTTCACAACCAAAATCTGTAATAAAATATCTGAAAACATTTCCTACGTGCATGTAGTCTTTCATTGTAGCAACATCTGTTTCATCTGTTATCCTTTGCTTTTGGTACTGAAGCTCGTCTTGTACTAATTGTTCATAATATTTCCGATGTCCCATTAACTTGCAAGCATCAGCTGCTGCCTGTAAAATACAGCAGAAAAATATAATAAAACTTTAAAAAGAAAAGATAGGCACAAGCCTGCAGTTTTCTTACTTCACCTCAAATTATTCCTGACAATCCTCCTATCTATCAACAAATAAAAAGGACCCTTTGCTAATTTACAGACAACTCCTAGAGAAACTAGAGAAGCATTGTCCAATTCTACAATGTGATAGTGAAGCATTCCCACTGGTCTGGAAAATATTTCTTCATGCTAAACCTGTTTCCATCAGGTCTATCAAGAGACGCTAAAAAAGAATCGTAAGAATTTTTTTAAAGATGGCACAGCAAAACGTAGTTGTTACAAATAACATTTAAGAGTGTGTGTGCCTCCTCAGTCTCTCCATGATACCTTAATAGATGAAGTATCTGTTCAAAGTTCTGATTAATGTCTTCTTTGAGAAGCTTTAATTTTATACAAAAATCTTTTTGATAAAAATTTCCAGCTTTAAGAGGATGCATATTCCAGAAGGAGTATTAACTATTTCAAATTACTATAATTTTTGGACCTGGACATTACTTTCTTGATGTACTTAATTATGTGGCTAAATTAGAAGCCGTGGCTCCTCTTGGAGACATAGGAGAAAGGACTACATGAGTGCATTGCAAAACAGAAACCTTATTCAAGTGCTCTTAACACCCTCTGGTGGAGTCAATGTTCAGTCAATACCTGGGCAGCAAAGGTTCCTAAACTATCAGGCGGCTACATTAGGTGGCAAAAGTTAGGAAGATTCCCCTTCAAGAGATACCCCTTCAAGATAACCCCTTCAAGCCTAGTTATGACAGAACTGCCTCACAACAGAACTGCAAGGGCAACTGTATGACACAACCTATGGAATGTACTATTCCATACATAATCTACACCAAAAACATAGACAAATGCTTTCACATATTTTTGTGTAAAGCTTTGTGTACGCTTTAAGCTTAAAGATAATTTTTCTTTGCTAACTGCAAATTAACAGCGTTCAGTAAAAGCAAGTTACTTGTTGGCATCTGAAATGTGTTATGCGACCAAGACTGAGTAAGAGAATAAACACCTTACACAACGTCAAAAATAACAAGCACCAAGATACCGCTAACTGATCAGAAAAAGACCACACATGAACACGAAGTAAGTCACCTCATTTGATGGACTTATTATTCTTTTTCCACTAATGTACTTGCTGCCTTGGCCTTGAGTGTGGCGAAAAATCTTAAACACGATGAAAGGTGGAAACTCCTGACCAGCAAATCTGAAGAAACAAAGAACACAATTAACTGTAATATGAGAACAGACTTCTGACGACTTAAATCAGAAAAGACTATTGCCTTGTTTTATCTTATCGGAAGGCAATTTAGTACTCATTATTTCTGATACAAGCTGCAAAGAACTTGCTCCAGTCTAACTTGCTCCAAGTGAACTGGAGATCCCACATCCTGGGTTGCAGAAAGCAAGGAGCGCTAAAATATGCAGAAAGGTGTAGTTTTATTTTTTAATTTAATATTTTGAAAATGGAAAGGTAGGGAAATCCATCTTTTTTATCTCTGTACTCTAGCCCCATCTCAATTCTAATGGCATTAAAACATTTCTGAATGTCCTATTGTCTTTTATAAAGGCTGCAAGATAACACATTGAACCCTGTTTGCTTCATGAAAAGCGCTCTAAACATAAGCCCAGAAGCCAGAAACAGTTCTTGTGGGAGGTAGTTTAAGTATGAGTAGTTGAAAATACTTTGTAAATAACTCCCAAATTAATGAGGAGTCAGTACTTAACAAAAAAAAAAAAACACAATTAGTTGAGCTGGGTTGAAGAATGCAGTAAAACGAAGAGTAATATTTGGTGACTTGAACTAAAAATGGTTAAAAAATGGCTGCTAAACACACATTTTCATATCTCAGTGATCCTGGGAGTTCTTAAGATCTCAGAACTTTCCAAATAGCAAATGTTTTTGTCTAAAGTAATAGAGCTCTGTGTCTGAAAGTCCATTGAAATTCAAAGGAACGACAAGGTTCTCACTGATTTTCAAAGACGACTGGAAAAATAGCTTGAAAATCCTTCGTCTAAAGGAAGACAGAGAATTACTAAAACACGAAATCCTTACATACAAAGCATAGGATCAGTCTACTCATATGCGGTTAAATTGAAAGACTGGAATTTAAGTCTGCAGAAAGGAATGGTATGATCACAATGCTGGCATGTATTTTCAAAAATCATAACCCTAGAATACTTTTTTCATGTGAAGTATGGCTACCTTAATGTAATGTAATGATTTAAAGGATGGCGTTCAGGCAAAAAGATTTATTCTTGTGATTGTACATTGATGAAGAAATGCAAGATTCAGACACGGGGCACAACTGACTTTTACAGGTAAATGTTTCCATGAAAGTCCAGTGAGAGGCTGTGGGAATTGAAGCAAAGCAGCCGAGACCACCTTAATAAGGGGCCTGTAACTGACCACAATAGCCTGTAAAATTCCATTAGCTAAGAAAAGGTCATGAACTGTTATGAGCAGCCTGGCTGCTTTTGAAAGTGGTTTTCCTCTGCCTGAAGTCATAGATAGAATATTGTAATTCCTCTGGAAACATTTTCTTTTAGGTTGTTTTTCATTCGGGACTACATGGTTCTCATTTTCTTGCACGAGTCACGCCCAGAGTGCCAGATCAGAATGTTTAATGAATAATGTGTATGTAAGTCTGAGACTTCCTTTTTTTTTTTTTTAAATGAATGAATAAGTTCTAAAGAGATGTTTCTACATTGGACATCCCGAAAGTTGGAATATTTTCTATTACCAAAATTCTTCCAGTATATGGTAAGAAATAATTCAAAATCAGATCCAAGTCCAAAGTACATCCAATTTTAAAAATTCAAAATGTGCTTGATGTGTTCCCCTTTTACATGAATATCTATTTGTTACACTTTTAATATCACAACATATGGAAATCGTGAGCCCTGACTACATAATTATTTCTAAATTCCTAGAGCAAAAATTGCTAAAGCAACCTGGTAAAGACAAAAAGAAGCTAATTTCTCCATTCTTTGCTGTAGCAACTGTCAAATGGCCTCATAACGCCTTACCAAACTTTTTAAAAATATTCAAAACTGCTGGAAGCTTACATGGGAAATTTTAGTCCAAAAGATACAATCTGCAAAAATATCTGTTGTCATAAATAAAGATGTAAAATTAAGTATCGTTCCAACTGTAATTTTGCCTGACAGCGTGCTTAGCAAAAGCAGGCAGAGTACTCTTTTGTCAAGTTACGATCGTACCGTATGCTGGATTGGGGCGAACCCCGAATTGCGTCTACTTTACCTGAATCTGACCTTACACCTCATGCTAGGATCTTTTATCAGTTCAGCTTCTGTTGGGCTCACCCTTCTCATAATTTCATGCGTGATGCAATGTTCCTGAAACAGATCGAAATACAAACTTGAGCTCTTTTGGCTCTCGACGGCTTTAACGTCCCACACCTGCGCTTTACAGAGGAATCGTGAGCGGTCCTCGGAACTATTTCATTCGAAAACGTGGCCGGCCAGTACAAGATGCTTCTCCCCGCCCCCCGCCCACGGGCGCGGCAGCCCGCGTC